TTGTATAATATATTTGAAAGCTTTTCTTGCTCCTCTTTTTTTCAGAAAAGTCTGAGGAGAACAGGTACTTACTCTTCTCTAGGGTCACCTGGGTGGCTCAGTCAGTTAGATGTTCAACTCTTGATTTCAGCTTAGGTCGCAATCTCACAGTTTGTGAGTTCAAGCCTCATGTTGGACTCTGCGCTGAGAGCATGGAGTCTGCTTGAGATTCTGCCTCTCCCTCTCTCTCTGCCCTACCCCTACACACACACACTCTCTCTCTCTCTCTTCTCTCTTTCCCTCTCTCAAAATAAGTGAATAAACTTAAAAAAATAGCTTTTCAATGTTTGATAGAATTCACCTGTGAAACTGTCTGGTCCTGGACTTTTGTTTGTTGTGAGTTTTTTGATTACTGATACATTTTCTTTACTAGTAATTGTTATGTTCAGAGTTTTGGAAGATTATATATGTTTCTTGGAATTTATCCATTTCTTCTTTCAATTTGTTGGCATATAATTTTTTATAATAGACTCTTTTAATCCTTAATATTTTTGTGGTGTTGGTTGTTACTGCTCTTGTGTTTCTTATTTTATTTATTTTGTCCTCTTTTTTTCTTGATGAATCTGGGTAAAGGTTTTATCAGTATTATTTATCTTTTCAAATAACCAGCTGCTGGTTTCGTTGATCTTTTCTATTTTTTTAAAATCTCTATTTCATTTATTTCTGCTCTGATCTTTATTATTTCCTTACTTCCAGTAACCCTGGGCTTTGTTCTTCTTTTCTATATCCTTTAAGTGTAAGGTTAGATTGTTTTTTGTTTTTTGTTTTTTTTTAATTTTTTTTCTTGTTTCTTGAGGTAGATCTTATTAAACAGATAATCAATATGGTCAGATTCTTGTAAAAAGAGAGGTTTGAGAATTTGATACTGGAGACAGAAATATTAATTCAGAACCCTGTTTCAGGAAGTCTGGATAGGAGATGATGAGGAACAGAATAAGAACTGCTAAGGAGGAAGAACAAATAGGATTTGGTGAATGACCAGTTATAAGGAAGGAACATGGGCCACTTTTTGAGATCCTGATGTGGATAGTTGAATGTGGTAATCCAGTCATATCTCCATCCATTCCATTCTGTAGAATATCCAAGAGAAGATATCCTCTAATAAGTAGTTGGGAAAATGAATTCAGAGCCAAGAAAGGTTTGGGCTACTTATATAATTGTGGAAGTTATTAACAAGTAATAGTTTACAACTCAACTATATTTTTTACTTTGGCCATCCTTCTTTTCCCTGACTTAATGGTACAGATTATTTACGACTTAGATATCTAAAGGGACCATTTTCTTCATTTTGACCTCCTTGTATCAGTGTTGAGTCAGGGTTTATGGATGACAAACAACAATGCTGAAATATGTTCTTACTATATCTTGCCCACCAAATCTACTCTCTATCTCTCATGTGCTAAGTGGTGTGTGGTAAGAGCTTTTCATTCATTATCTCCATGACAACCCCATGAGCCCATTTTGTAATTGAGGAACAATGGGAAGTTCAGTGATTGACCAAGATCATAGCCAATGGTAAGTATTAGGGCTGGATTTGAACCAGGTTGACTTGATTTTATATATGGCTCTTGCTCTTCACCAATGTGGGTTGCCCCCAAGTGCCTGTGGCTGCTGCTGATTTGTTCTGCCCCTGAATACAGTTTTTTTCTTTCTCTTTCTCTGACATCTAAAAGACTTTTTCAAAATAAATCTATAAGTATATACACGAAAACATTAATAGTGATTATCTCTGCATGATGAACATGAATGAGTTTTGTTTTCTTTCCTATACTTTGTATTTCCTGAATTTTATGGAATACACATTTATTATTTTTTATAACTGGAAACATAATGGCACTATTTTCATAACAGTGATTATTTTTTCCATGAACAATATTATAGGTGGGTATTTAATGCAATTTAACCATTTAACTTCCCACCTCCCAACATCATATTTATGAGCATCTTTAAAAGCAGCATTATTGGTATTATTTTGCTTACACATGGTCTTAACCAAAAGGACAAGAGGTGATGATTTTGCTTAAAGTTCACAAAGCCCCAACAAGAGGAATGCATTTTGTGGCATCATGACCTTACAGAAGGTGTTTTTTTCTTTTTCCCCTGAACTCCCCATTTTATACAGTTTAATTGTTGAATGTGTTAAGTATGCATGGCCAAGGGAGTGGAAACCTTTGACATGTATAGAAAGCAATGGAGATTTGGGGAATTTATGTTTTTAAGTAGAAGAGAAGAGAAATGAAAAGGTAAAGATAGGGAGCAGACTTTTAACTGATACTTCTCTGGTACACAAATATGTGTCCGTTCAGCTCCCTTTTGCTGTTCAGACAGCCATTGACACTTACCCTTTTAGCTTTTTAGTTTTCTACTAATATGAAATACTTCATTAGTTTGGATTTGGGGGTTATGTAAAATTATGCCCTTTGGAAAGGAAAACATTTCACGACTGGGGAAGCAGGTGTTCAATGATTACCTTCAAAAGAAACATAGCAGAAAAGAAGCACAATTAAGTTAAATTAATTCTCCAGTTCTTCGTGTTTTTGAATAGGTCTGCTTTTAAGCTGCAGGCATCTAATCGGAAGAAACCCAGTATCTCTCTACAAAGATACAAAGATGCTTAATAAAGAATATTTGATTGCTGCCGCATAATCCACTCCCAAACTTGTAGTTGTATAAACCATTTGGGCAGGAGAACAAGTGGGAAAAACATTTTAGGTGGGCTCTGCCTGTCCACCTGTAACTTTGCTGAGTTTAGCTGTTTCCACTTCTGTGCATGCTCATCTGTCTGTGCAGTGCTGCTGGACGCTGCCTCAGGACCTTGAGCCATGCCTTGGGCAATTGCCTGGGGTACTTGAAAAGCACTGACATTACCCCTGCTGTGTCCATCATGCCTTTGGGGGACTGCAGAGTGAGTGATTTACTGGGACACTAAAGTCATATTCAGGACCCTGAACAGTTAAACTTGTTTCATATATGTATCGGCCAGAAACAACATTCATCCCTAGGAGTTGGTCCTGAAGTTCTATATGGAAGCAAGGGTTATACATTCTTTCCTTCCAGTGTAAAATTTACCAATCCTAAAAAGTAAGATTTGGAGAACAAGTTTAAACATTATTTGAAATAATTGGTGTGAGAGTCAAAATCTTCAATATTCTTTTGATAAAATCTTCTGAATGGGAAGCCAGGGTATTTTGCCTGAATGGCTCTGAGTGGATATAGATATTTGAGTTGTAGTAGATTTTAGTGATCATCTGTAATAAACTTTATTTTAAAGAGAAGCATTTATTCCTTTTCAATTGTTTTGGCAAATAGAGCTATTAAGAGCCAGAATCTTATGCTGATTCCTGAAGTTATCTAGCTTGACTCCCTGTTGGAATATATTAAAGTGTCATCTCCCACCCAAAGAAATAGAATCTAAAGTGGAAAAAAAAAAAGTCAAGTAGCTGTGGTGATGATGCAGCTGTTACTCAATGAACTGTTTTGCAACTTCTTTATTAACATTTTATTACATAGAACAGCACTGTCCTATAGAAATTTAATGGGAACTACATCTATTATTCTAAATTTTCTAGTAGCTGCATTTACAGGAAGTAAAAAGAAACAAGTGAAATTAATAACATTTAATCTACTTTATCTAGAACAATATCATTTTAACATATAATCAATATAAAAGTATTAATGAGATATTTTACATTCTGGTTTTCTTATTCCTGGCATTTGGTATTATCTTTAACACTCTTAGCACCTCTCAAATCAGACTAGTCACGTTTTAAGTGCTCAGTAGCCACTGTGGCTGGCGGCTACCTTGTTGGACAGCACAAATTTAGAACACACTCCTTTAAACTTTCAAATGTTATAGAGGAAAATACATTCAAATAGAATATAAATATTTTAGAAAGCGTTCTTAACATTCTGAGATAATTAGAAAAGGGGAAAATATGTTGAAAGTTACTTAAATGGATTAGTGGAGTGAAATAGCTATCTGATGGTATTTTGCATTCCTTAAGCTATTGGAAAATATTGCTCACATATTAAACTTTTCAAGTTAATAACGGAGGGAAAACAGGACATTCATTCTACTTGAAATAGGTAAATTTTCTATCAAAAAGCCTGTGTGCCCACTGTGATCTTGAAGAGTTAAACAAAGTTTGCACCGGAGTCCTGGCTTTCTGGTAGCGGTCTTTTAGAGTCGTGACTACAAGCTCACACAGGAAAAATCCCTCCAGATTGAGCATGGCTACAGAAGCTCTTTGAAAAAGAAGGAAAGATTGTCATTGGCTCTCTGAACTTTTGAGGCTAACAAAAAATAAAGAACACTTACAAGTTGTTCATCTTAGGTAGGTTTAATATAGAATTATTCAAGGCAAGAATTTTTTCTGTGAGATTCCTTCATTTCCTGAAACCTTACATGTAAAAATCTGTGCTTTAATTCCATTGGGTCAAGATGGGTTGTTTTAAAGATGTACTTAATTTGAAGTTTGGGGGAGAGTAGAGTCAGTCTGTTTTCATATAGTTTGTGTCACGACTACCACTTTACCTGCACTCATATTTTCTTCAGTAGAACAAACTTACTGCCTAAGAGCTGTAAAATATGGTAAGGGTAGAAAAATCCATGTTCTTCATTGGTAAAATGCTTTTAAAAAGTTGCAAAGTAACATTTCAGTCAGTGAAAGCAGAAACTCCTTTCAACTCCTTTATTAAGGTGTCTTTAAATATATGGGTTTTAAGAGGGGCAAAATCAGGATAAAGGATGACTTCTAGAACAACAGTTCTCTGCCAGAGTCTTATAATTAAGGGATTTTTTTTTTTTTACATTATCCGTAGAGTCCCATTTCCCCCATGCCTGTCATGCAAACCTTAGTGAATCAGCCTAAGTTTCTTGCCTGCTCTTTCTTGGATTAATTTCTAAGAGCTCTTTTTTTCCCCCATTTTTATTTTATTTATTTTTTTTTTTTGGCACCCAGGAATTAAATAGCTTTAATTACTTGGATCTGTACAGACTTGCTGACCTCTTTAACCTCACTTTGCTGGAGAAGGCAGTGATCGATTTCTTAGTGAAACATCTCTCTGAGCTCCTGAAGAGTCGCCCAGAAGACGTTCTAATGCTTCCTTATTGTCTGCTCCAGGAGGTTCTGAAGAGTGACCGCCTGACCTCCCTGAGTGAAAAGCAGATCTGGCAGGTAAGGACACTCTGCACGGGCCTTCTTTTTGCAGGGAGACAGCATGGAATGGTTCAAAGTTGAGCAGCTGAGGAACAATGATAACTGTTCTGTCTTGTTTGGTTCTCCTAAGAGCCAAAGTCTTGGCAGTCATGGTGGGCAAATGATTAGAGAACACCAGCCCTTGAGGCTCCAAGGCCTCGGCTTCTGCTCAGCTTAACTCAGGGAATCATAGGTATGGTTCCTCAGACCCTTGCTGGGGGTTCCCAAAACCCTAAGAGGGGGAGTTATGTCAGGAAGAGTCAAGAATTTTTTTCTCCTGATAAAAATAGTTTCTTAAACTGAGTATGAGAAAAATGGATTGTCAAGTGCTATTTATGTATGTTTAAGACCAATGAAATCAGAATAGATTCTGGGCTTTCCTGTAAACAATTCAGAAACATTTCTTTGTGGCAGCAGAGAGCAGCTGGGACCTTAAATGAAATGAAGCTTTTGCACTGCAGTGGAAAAACCTCCATCCTTAGTTCATTCTGCATTCATTGCTATTTTCCTAAGCCCTGCCTTTCCACCTGACATAGGATTGTTTTCAAATATCCTCTGTCTAGGGGATGGGAGGATGTTTTGTATTTTTGAATTGATCATTCAATTTAAATCCTTTTCTACTCATCCTCACTGACTTTACTTGAGAATCCACATGGTGTTTTTGGGAAACAGTCAGAGCCCATCTTACCCTCTTAACATTGTCTACCTCACTCTCTGAACACTAGCTAGCCATCTAGCTGCTACTGGGGCAGCATCCCTTTAAGATTTCATGATGATTTGAAAGTTGTTTACATACAGAATACAAGGGAAAGTATGAAGTCTTCTGTTAGCTGACAGCACAGTAAATTCCTGGTATCTTAGCAAATGACACTCAAAGAGAACTCCAACTCAGGCCCAAACAGGGTCAGAGGTAGCTCTTTATTATCCAGCATCTGACTCAACTGACTGATATTTTTCCTGATGTCTTTCTCCTTTATTTCTTTCTTTGTATTACATCAGTCAGCAACTTCCTTTTTACTGTTGCCCCACCAGTGAGGGTAACAAGAGCTGTGGTACACTGAGGGCCTTCCAGGACCCAGACTCTATTTTATAAACTCAGTGACTTAGCATCACAACAGGCTTGAAGAACGGTTGTTATCACCCCATCTTCCAGATGAGCAAAATGGGGATTCAGTGCCTTGCTCAAGGCTACAGAGCAGAGCCGGCCTACAAATCCAGGCCTGCAGACACCTGCCTTCATCTCTGCAGTATTCTATGCTGACTTGACAAAGAAAATATAAGGAAAACACATAAGCCATATTTTTTTTCTGTTTCTTAGGTATTTCTGATAATGTTTGTTCAAGTAGAGTCAAAAGTTGGTGAGGACGAGTTTTTGGTATGAATTTTAATATCTGTGGTTCTCCCCCATAAACACAAATCATCAACATTTTCTGGTCAGTTCAAAGTGGGGGGGTTGCCAAATTTTTCTTCACTTCCCAAAGGGAAAAAGGAAAGACTTGAAATGAATTCTGTATATAATTATTTCTAACTGAATTGAGACCTGAGCCGATCATCCTTGTGGCTTCTGTCTTTTTTCATGACATGGTCGAAGGGAATGCCAGAGTGGTAATGTGCAGATGTCTGAGTATCCAAAAAAATTCCATACTGTTCACTTAAGAGTTATCATAATTGCCTCTCGAAAGGTTACTAATATTATCATGTAGAATTTTAAAAACTGCTTTGTGCTGCAGGCAATATCTTTTATATCTGACCCTCAAGAAAGAATTAAAAGACTCACATAAATATGATCAATTTAGGCGTTCAGCAGGCAATAAGAAACTGTTTTTGCTTTATCTTAGTAAATAAGTAATTCCTTCATACTCAACTCAATAGAGAAAAATTAAATCAGACCAGCTATATTGCCTCAAGTATAGTTAAGTTCATCATTTTTGCTGAGGTTATACTAGTAATGCAATATACCATGGAAGAATCTAATATTCAGCCCAGAGTGAAGATTGGGTATGCCAGAGGATTAGTGTCAGGGTGCTTTATAGAAGTGAATCTTGATGGACAGGCTGGAGACAGATCTACAGAATCTCATTAAATTGCTGAATTGTTCATTACGGAACGTTCTCACTGTAATAAAGTGCTCATTGACTTTGACAAATCCCCATCCCATGTCTTAAAGAAGAACAGTGAAGCAATGGGTGTGGGGGAGGAGGAAGGAAATTGACACAAAGTGGGACAGGTAATAGAAAAGGGGACGGAGGGGTAGTGCTCTTTGATTAATATGTGCAACTACTAACTTCTGTGAGAGCCCAGTGAACACACACACTCACACACACACACACACACACACACACACACTCACACACACGTTTCCACATGTGGTTCTTCCACTATCAACCAATAATGTAATCTGGGACATTCCCTTTTTTTTGGTGAAAGGTCTAATTTTCGCTATTCACGAGACTTCACGCCTCTGTCCCTGAAGACATCATAAGAACCTTCAAATTATCCTCATTGAACAAACTCTTTTTTACTTTCTCCTGCTGTCCTTATCCACCTCCTTTACCGATAAAATGTGCTGCAGGCTGTAATAAACATTCTGTGGATCTGGAAACCTGGAAAATCCCCCAAGATTATGCCTTATACCTGCTCTTTTTTTTTTTTTTTTTCCCGTCTGACCTTTCTAAACTTTAAGTCTCTTCTTTCACAGAGAGCTTCTTCATTCCCCCACAGATATTTTTTCCCTCCCTTTCTGGCTGGAAACTACTTGGCCTGTTACATAACTTCTCTTTATATTCCTAGGTTAATGTAGAGACTGGAACCATATACAGACTTTAGTGTATAAGGGCATAGAAGTACCCTCAGAAAAAAGCTTTTAAAAAAATTCAGTTCAATTCAGCTTAACAATTTGTCCTGATGTTTCAAGGCCAGTGATTTCTAGGTTCCAGATGAAAGACACTAAATTGGTTATGGGGCTCAAAGAAACAGGAGACTAAAAATGAGCAAATCAGCTGAGAGGAAACATGGGGTGTGAGGTCACGCACATTTGTGACCTGGCAAATCTCCACCAATTTTGTTTGGCTTTTGGGTTTTAGCTCTAACGTAGGACTTTGTTTCAGAAGAGTCTTGTTAAATTTTTCCTGTCGTGTTCAACATACAGTTTCAGACTGCTGAGCCCGGGGTCCTCCTATAAAACTTGAGTGAAATAATGAAAAAATTTCATACCACTCCCACATATTGGGTCTGTTTTCATTTTCATAGGAAGTGCTGGCTAATCCATTTTCTCCTGAGGAAAATGCATTCTCTGCCTTTTCTACCCCAGATTCTCTTTTATCAGAATGAGTGCTTGGAGATTACTTCCCACGAGGGTACAATTTACAGAAAAAAGCCTGAATATGCTATAAATTCTTACATTTGCTAGCACATGGAGAAGGTGTGGTTGGTTCTCCATCCATCAGTATTTATTGAGCACCTATGAAGTGCCTAAAAGTGTGCTGGAGTGTTAGGCAGAGTACAGGTTTGCTAACTCCGTTTTCATCTCCCATGCCTTACCCCAAATGGGAGGGATCCTTATGATTTTAAACTGTTCTTTAAGCTCTCTGAGTTATTATTTCATCTCTGAAGTAGCAGAAACAAGGATATTTTAAAATGATGAAGATAGTTTGTGAAAATAAAAATGAATATTTCTGGGGCACCTGGGTGGCTTAGTCGGTTGAGTGTCCGACTTCGGCTCAGGTCATGATCCCACAGTTCCTGGATTAGAGCTCTGCGTCGGGCTCTGGGCTGAAAGCTAGCTTAGAGCCTGGAGCCTGTTTCAGATTCTGTGTCTCCCTCTCTCTCTGCCCCTCCCCTGCTCATGCTCTGCCTCTCTCTGTTTCAAAAATAAACAAAAACTATAAAAAAAATGGATATATCTTGAGCACCTATTACGTGCTCAGTACAGTGTTAGAAGTAGATCCTTGTGTGGGGCGTCTGGGTGGCCCAGTCGGTTAAGCATCTGACTCTTGATTTTGGCTTAGGTCATGATCCCACAGTTCGTGAGATCAATCCCCACATTGGGCTCTGTGCTGACAGCATAGAGCCTGCTTGGGATTTTCTCTTTTCCACACTTGCTGCCCCTCCCCCTGCTCATTCGTTCTCTCTCTCTCTCTCTCTCTCTCTCTCTCTCTCAAAATAAACATTAAAAAAAGTAGATCCTGGGGTAAAAAGCTTTCTAGAAATATTCAGTTATTGGGTTAGAGAGATTTAGTTTACTTTTAACTCTAAATGTAGAGAACTTTGAACTTCCTTCAATTATTAATATATTAACTGATTCCTACTTTCACTGAAGAAGACTTAACTATTTTATAAGGACAGTACATATATAAATGCTCTCTTTCTTTATTAACCTTGGGTTGAGGGCACCTCCTTTTTGTATTTTGACCAAATAGTTCAGTGTTTACATCACTGACATGAAAGAGGATCAGAACTTCGCAAGGACAGTCTCCTTTATCCTGGTCATGTTCCGCTTCAGTATGGCTAGAGGGACCGAGTCACCTGGTTTGGGGTTAGGGATAGTCATGTTTACATTTGTCTTTATGTGTCCCCAGAGCCCGAGGCTATGCCTGTTGTGTTTGCCTTAAACACTGGTCTCTTGCTGTCTATAAATAATAAATAAAAACAATAGTGTATAGTTTTCATGTTAAAATGTATTGAATGGATTAGAATACATCCTGCTACTATTCCTACACGAGGCTAGATGTATTCTAGGGAAAATTGGTATACAAAATGAGCTTGGCCTTTTAAAACTGCATTTTTCGTTGCACTTCTTTTGGAAATTTGCTTCTATAAGTCATACTGTTAATAACACATTTACTTTATATCTCTAGAGACATGAGTCACATAGTATTTAGACTAGTCAACAACCTCAGATGCAGTGGTTTTTGTTTTTGTTTTTGACAAGCCCCTCCTGGGCTTTTATCTACACCACAAAACTACCCACTTACAGTTTG